CGCAAGTTCCTACCTGTTTCTGCGCAAGCAAAATTCATTTGCCACCAGCTGGGAAAGCCTAATGTTGACTAAGTATTTGAGGTTACAAATGGCACAGAGGAGCGACCACCGTTAACGCCTTCTTCCCACCATGTTCAACTCCACCAGCAGAGGTAAAGACCACGATGGAGCTCACGGCCGGACCCTACATCGTTGCCCAGCATCATGGCCATTCCTTCCCATCCCCTCGAGCACCAAGAGCAAACTGCGAGCACAACCTGCAGCATCACAACTCAGACCAACACAGGCTTTAAACTTCTCCATGCACAGAAAATTGCAGACATGTCACAGACCTGCGCTCATGAACAGACACTATAATATACAAAAATATGAAAAAGTGGGTTAAACCAACCAGCTCAGCAAACTGCTCTGCAGTAGCGATTACTCCAGGACACACTTTATTATTTTAAAATACTACTTGCTATTTTAAAATTACCTTTAAAGATACAGACATACGTAGGACTCCAAGATTGAACGCAATAAATCTCAGAAATTCAGACAAATATTCTTGTATGTCTTTCTGGGAACCAAAAAAAAATAGCTGCAAGAGACATGAAGAATACCACTTTCAACAATTTGTATCCAATAAGCTGAAAGGCTGGAAATAAGTGGGTTTTTTTTTAATCTTTTTTTTCCATTTTTTTCCATTTTTTTTTCTTTTAAAAGTGAAATAAAATGAAGTAAAATGAATAAAACTCCTACCAATTTTATACACATGAGCACAGGGAAAATTAGAGCAAAGTAACCAGCACTTTGACAATCAGGGGAAATTCCAAAATAGGCCATTGCAATAAAATAATATCTAAACAGAACAGCGAATTTGGGAAGTTTCAAAAGACTTCAAAAAATGTCCTAAGAAATTAGGACAGGAGCAGTCTATCAGAAACCAAGGCGAAAGAAGCTTGGTTCAAATGTGAGAGTAAATAGTGTGTCCAGTTTTATGTATTGCTGGTAACAAGTTTTTGTTGGGTGCCCATATACCATCTTGCCTAAGAATATAGATAAGATCTTAAGCAACAGTAAATGTTGCTGCTAAACACATTAATTCAAAGCGCTTCCTTTTTTTATCTTATCAATTTGTCCACATTAATGTCTATTAATATATCTATTAGTCACAGTTAAGGGCTGCACTATCCAGGCAAGGACACTACAGAACCACTAAGCAAGGTCATGAGGGTTTTAAGGGTTTTCTGTCTTCTTTTCAGTAGGGGGAAGAAGGGAATGTAAAACTGAAATTACTTCATTTTGCTTGAGACAAAGCTAGAAAAGGGTCGTCGTCATTACAGGACGCTTGAGCAAACCAAGAGCTGGAAGTAGTTGGCCAACCAACAAGAGAAGATCTTTGACCAGGTCTTCACAAAACACAGTAGAAGCAGAACACACCAACAAAACTGTTTTAAGTGTCCTGTAATATGGCAAAGAGATAACAAATCCTTCGTTCTTTCTTGAAAATAACATAGCTAAACGGAGAGACAAATTAGACAAGCTTTGGACCACGCGTTATTAAGAAATGAAAATAGGGTCTCCACCAGGCAGCATTCGGAGAAGCTCAAAATTAAGCAGCTCTATATGTCATAATTATATAGTAGTTTAATATGAAACATATGAAATTCTTAAGAGCAGAACGATAATGTTTCAGTGAAATAGTACCAATAACTCCCATAAGGTTGGTGAGGCAAATGTTAAAGCGATACCAACAGATAGCACCCAAGAAGGGAGCTGAGACCATCTTCAAGAGGTTATGGTAACACTTTAAATAAATACGTCCACAACATAATGCCCCTAGAACTCACCTATTTTCTAAGAACTCCTCAACTAAAGGAAAATTCTCTCAGGTCCTTTCAATTCCGCTATGAAAAAAAGGAAGAGAATCTCAGCAAGCTATTTCAAAGGAGTTGCAGCTCTCTATTAAACTTATAAATGAAGAGAAAGTCCATAAAACATCAACCTCAACAGTCTGGAGAATAACTTCCAAAGGTTTTCAACCTTGAGGTGAGGGCAACACCCACCAAAACAGCAGAAGACATAATGGGAAAGTGTAACATGACGAAAGTCCGCGTCAGAGTGCATCTGACAACCATGTCCTTGAAGCAACAAAAAATGAAAAAATGAAAAATAAAGATTTAAATCATGTTTAAAAAGTTAATACAGATTTTGCTATTCCAGAAAAATACAACCATCAAGAGCACAATTTAAAGCAAATACTATTTTGAACCCATTTCACCATAGTATTTTCACTTATTCTCCATTCTTAAAGTTTATCCTTCCCTGCTTTTGCTTCTAATTTTCTCTTAAAGGAACTAAAATGTTATTACTTTGGATGTTTGAGCTCTACTAATCTTGCTGTGGATGTACTACCATATAGTTTTAGCAGGTGTTTTAGCTTAGTCCACATAAAATTTACAAAAAATGAGTAAATTTGCTTCTCCTCTTGCAAAAAAAAAAAGAGACTTTCCAGAGGATGCAGAAGAAGTCAAGAAGGAGAATGATTCCTCTCCAAGGTAATGTGTCTTAAAATGAAATAATTATTTAAAAAAAGAGACATCCAAACAAAACAATAAAATGCTTAGACCTGCCTCTGTGTAGCACACATCCATACTAACTGAAGAGCTCTAAATTTTTATTTTTTATTTGCATCAACCATCTAGAAAAAAAAATTACATCTGAAACTTGCAGCATTGATTCTCAAAAATAAAATAAAAATAAAAAGCTCATCGTTACTATTCTACATATATAAAACCTTCAAAAATAAGCCTAGAAAGAAGGGCAGCGAAGCAAAGGGAGCATTTGCCAAGGTACTAGCTATGTGCCACTGGTGCCCAGTCACCTCGGAGTTTGGTTACTGTGACACAGTCTCCGTCCCACCACTCCACCACATGCTTTACATGACAAAAAAGTAGAGCAGGGGGAGGCCCTCGCACCCATTTCCCGAGTGTCCTGAGGCCCTCGGGGCTCCTCTCACCAAAGAACCACTCCTGGCCCTCGTGGTTAGGTCTGGACATGTCAGCCCCCTCCTCGGGCACTCACGTCTCGGTGCCGACAGACTGATGCGATGGGTGTCGGGAGAGAGGGATCCTTCCCAGGAGCTACATCCAGATTCCAGGGATGCTCTTGCTGCACCACCTCAATTGTTTCTCCTGGATTTTTTTTTTTTCTAAAAAAGGTTTTTTCTTCTCCTACCTTTCAAGCAATATTCTGAAATGTTAAAAATTACTCATTTAAAAAACATGGTAAAGCATATTTCCAACTCCCTTAAAATAATAATAATAATAAACAAGGCAAAAATGCTTCTAATTCAACTCTTTCTAAAGAGGTACGTCCACAAGAAACTACCCAGCCAGATCTTGCCTGACCTTGGGATAAATGAAGCTTAAGATACTGTCAATAGCTCTTCTAGGCTCCCAATCTATCAGAGACCTTTCCAAGGGAAAAACTTTACCATGCAAAGGTAATTTCACAAAGTATCTTCCAGAAGCTGCTTTTTCCCCCTTTTCCGGGAGAGATTCAGAAAGATGGTAAGAGAAGAACACATACAACTTGGTGCAGAAGATCTTACATTGGTTTCCAAAATAAACCCCACGCTACCAGCTAAAACACCAACCTCATTCATTTAAAGCTGTGAGTGGGGGGAAGCACGCGAGCGCTGACAGTTGTACGTTCTTGCAGGCACACGATGAGTCAAACAGCCAGCACCTAAACAGGAAGCTGAAAACTTCACAGAAAAGCAGAAGCTGCACTGGGAAGACTACTCAAGTGGACTGCCATCCTTTAATGCACCTGTCCTTGTTCTGGTTCACGTTATGCTAAAAGTTGTCATACATGAACACAAGACCCTTGCTGAGCCAGGCCTAAGTAATAGTTAAATCTGATAGGGAGGATGATGGAAATTTGCCATGGTAAGGTATGATCTCTATAAAACCTGTCCCCACGGTTGTGGCAGAGCTGCTTTTGTCTTCCTCGAAGCTGAGGATGTAGAGATGCTCTTGAGTAAATTTAATAATCAACGGCTACTGCTTCTCCCCATAGCAAGTCCAAAAATGCCATCCACCAGCCGAAATCCCGATCCAGGCATCGGAAACGAAGCTCTGGCCAACGCCGAGGCTTGCTCACAAGCTTAGGGAGAGCAGCGGTAATGCAGACACGGCTCCTTTCCGCAAACAACGTCCTCCAGCTGCGCGGAGAAGGGGAACCGGGATAACGGCCGCCTGCAGAAAGGGCCTGACCTTCCTCCCCAGAGCAGCCGAGCCAGGAGGAAGAGCGAGGCGCAAACGAGCCCGCGCAGGGCAGGACTCTCCAGGTGCAATTGTGAGACAGGAAACTTCTCCCTGTCTCACCAGGTGGGACATTTTCAAAGCCTGACAACTCCTAGCTGGGAAAACACAACAATTTACAGAAATAACGTGCAAGTCAGATACAGAATCGGGGCCAAAACCAGCGTTTCAGTAGCGGGCACTGTCCACCACACCAGCCAAGACACAGGCACTGAAATGCATATTATTTTCCAAACCAAAGCATGGCTTGACAGGAAATCACACTCCGTGATCTCAGGAACCTCGAGCAGCACAAGGCTTGGGTAGAACTGGCAAGCTCTGCTTACCTGTAACAGCCTGGTCCCCAGTGAGGGAGTTCACCAGGTGCTCCAATATTCCCAGGTCAAAACACGCAGGATCTCTTCCTACCGGAATTAAAATGCAAACAGGCGCTTCCAAAAAAAAAAAAACCCAGGAAAGTCTTACAGCATAGTATCCTCAAGGCACCCTAATTCTAAATATCGAGGTGCACTAAGGATCCTTAGGAAAAGCCGTATGAAAAATACATATGGAAAAATATATGAAAGGAGGAAAAAAAGAAAATCAGAGGCACCTGCTATTAGTAAAATACAGGCCTATATTCAGGTTCCTGCAGCTTTTCCAATTACCTGAAGAATGAAATTAGCAGCATCAAAGCCCTTAAACATTTATCTTCAGGTTATTTAGGAAGTAAAGCAACTTGAGGTGCGTTTCCTTTTCAATGTAAATAGCAGGTTCATTTGAACAATGCAAGCACGCATTTTTTAAGGTGTTTTTGAAAGCCAGTAGGTGAGATCTGCCACATACAGGCAGAGCATCCCCCCATCCACTCCGAGGAGGAAACAACAGCAGGTGTTTGGGAAAAAAACTCCTACAAAAGGAGCCGCCGCGCAGGTACCGGGGCTGACACCACCAGAGCCCCGTCCCGCGCGGTCACGAAGGCCCCGCGGCCTCAGCAACGTTTGCACGCTGCCGAGCTGCTCCCGTTTGATGGGATTGGTCCCAGAACGACCGATTCCTCAGCTTGCTGGGGACACGAAAGCAAAACGGGACGTTTGGATACGGGCGGGGGTTTTTCCACCTGCTTCTGCAGCGATCCTGGTGCACAGGACCAACGCCGGCCCTCCCGAAGGGAGAAACCCCAGAAAGGAAGTCTATTAAATATTTATCAGACTCTCAGTACTCACAGAAGTGTGAGTGTTTTGAAAACTCACAGAAATATCATTATGTTATATATATATAAAGAAACATCATTAGTTATTCTCAAAAGACATATATTATGGAAATCCATGAAAGGTTGTGTCCTTCACTGACATGTAGTTCTGCAAGGGTTAAGAACACGAGCTACGCTTTAAGATGGGTCCTCCTCAGATATATTTGAGTAAGTGAATGGGCCATTGACTCAACAATGATCTTGCTCTGCTGAAGTCAGAGGAATTTTGCCAATGACCCCAATGGGAACAATATTGGATTCTCAACATTAAGCTTAATATTTTTTTCTATCTTCACTGATCCAGTTAATATTGTAATGAACTATCAATATCTATAATATTTACTAAGTTCAAAAGGTTTTATATACTTTACGAGTCTCCAAAGAAACTCCAACACCCTATCCAAATTTTGACCTTTCATCTTGAGGTTACATATGGGCAGGAGCCGGAGGGGGAAGCGGAACCGCCGCGCGCGGCCACAGCCCGCGAGGGCGGGCAGGAGGCGGGGCGCCGTCACGCGAAGACTACAACTCCCGGCGGGCAGCGCGGCGCCGCCGGAAGCCAACGGGGCGGTGGGGCGAGCGCGCAGCATCATGGGACTTGTAGTCCGTGGGCGCCCCCAGCGCCACGGCCGCCTGGTTTCACACCCTCCCTTCTCCCGGCCTGGCACCGGCTTCCAAACCAGCGTCCCCCGCGTTTGCCAGGGCCAAAACCTCCACATCCACCCAAAAATCTCAGCATTCACACGTGCGAATTTCTAAAACAGCTCCACATTTTACTTTGCCGTGGTGCTTTTTTACTCATCACAAGCAATACTGCCTTGTCCTCCCCTGGACTCAGGTCTCAAGCAGCTTGTTTCACCCAAGTAATTCCAACTGCGACTTTTCCAATGATATTATCCACCACTAAAAAAAAGGGGGGCGGGGGGTGCTTTTGGAAGCAAAATGCCTGCCAGAGGCGAGTGGTGATGTGGGATGCATCACCTACCTTGTGTTTGAGGGAGCACAAGAACCACCTCGGTTTGGGGGGGAATAAGAACAAACATGTCCCCCGACGAGCCCCAAGGGCTTCGCTGCAGCCCCGCGTGCGCGACGGTGCGGATCGCTCTGCGGCCGAGCGCGGAGCGCGGCGGGAGCAGGGGAGGGACGGGACGTCCAGGGCGTCCCGAGGCTGCAGCTGGACGACTATGAAAAGCCGCTTCTGCCAAGGAGACACCTGGGCTGCGCATAAAGGCCTCAAAAGGAAGGGCAGAATTTGGAAGCATGGATTTTCTTTCACCTCCCCCATCACAAAGATCACCTGCTTTTAATAATTCTGAATTTATAAGGAATAAAATCTGTCCTTTTTGCAGTTATTTTAGGCTCACAACGCCACCTACTGACAACAAGCTACTCTGTCAACCCCAAGCCACTCAGTTTTTCCATTAGTGAAGCAATTTCCTCTCCATTTCCTTGTATTTATCAACTGCTCTCATGACTGACTGCAAGTCTTCTAAATATTTGCTTCTAGTTAGGATCTCTTTTACCAGCTCTGGTCTTCTAAGGACGAGATGTGGTCTTTTTTTTTTTTCTTTTAATTTTTTGCCTCAAATTCTCAAGGCCTCTAATCCTCAAATACCTTAAATCATTCAAATCTGACTGATTTGAACAAGTCATGAAACCTCTGCCTTTAAATATTAAAAAAAAGGAAGGGTAAAAAATATACAGGGGAGGGGGGCTTGTCTTATACTGTCCCAAGCAAGCACAGAATTGTCTCCTCACAAACTCACAGATAACTAAGCTGAACTGTGAAAACAAGCTTAAAATTCAGAAACTTTAATGACTTGATAAAGTTTTTCATACCCTTAATAACCAACCCCTCAGTCAGTTCATTTAAATTCAAGCAATATAAATTTAAAAAAATAGGCCAAAAGAACCATAATCCATTACGGAACCCTCACACGCTGCCAAAATATAAATAACAGAGTAAAATTCCTTTAGGATGCAGATGCAACCAATGTTCTTAGTTTTCCTGCACTGAGCTCTGTCACTTCATACTCCTGTACTTCTGTTCTGAGCAAGTCTGCAGGGGGGAGTGTCCATATCTGCAGGCAGCTGCAAGGATCATGCTGGAACAGAGGACCGTGGCGAGAAGAGTCGTGACACACACCAAGAATCTGTGTTGTCTGAGCCCCACTGGAATCTGCATGATCAATTCCTCACTTACCTACAAAGAAAAACAAGTTAAAACATGTATTTAATGAGCTATTTCTTTTTGACTGCAACCCTTTCACACTTCAAAGGCAATTGCTGACCACACTTAAGATTCAATGTTACCTCTCTTAGAACTCAGAATAAAGCAGCTCCATGTTTCTTATGCACTTTGCCAATCAAATAACAACTACATCAACAGAACTGGCCTTTTTAGATGCAATTCCTTAAGGATTTGGGGTTCTACCTCCCATTTTTCAATCAGATCATAACACTGTTTTCTACTTGGTTACTTGTCTGAGGCACCTGTATTGCCAAGGCCCTTCTTGAATCAACCAGCATCAACTGTATCCTCAGATTCCCACAAAACGATTAAGGAAAACAAAACAAAAAAGCACACACACAAAACAAACAAACAAAAAAAATAACCCTGCCACCAAGGGGTAGAAGAGCACAGAAAATATTACAGACATGTCAGAATGATGCCTGCTAGCTGGAAAGGAAGAAAACGGCCTTCATAAGGAAATCAGGAGAAATCAGGACTCACAGGTTTGTGCTTTACGCTGTACCACTGACAGGGGTGGCTGCTTCTTCCCAAACAGGCAGCTTCCACATCCGAAGGTTTCCAACACTCAGTCGACAGGTGATCTACAGAAGACAGGAACGCGTCACCAAAAATCCAGTCGGGACAGAGACACGTGGCCTGCAAGGCTTCTCCAAATGAGGTATCTTTCCTTCAACAGCTCAACAGCAGCAACTCACTAAAAGCCAAAAGGTGAAATAACAGGTAGTGACAGAAATGTACCTGATAAGCCTCATGTTCAAAGTAGTGCTGGGAGTTTTTTTCAAGGAATTTTCTACCTTTTGTTCCCAAGATAGGAGTCCAAGCAACAACCCCTACCCATGTGATGTTCGGGCCCCTCTGTCTTTAATAGGGCAAAGGATTCATCATTGGTCTGGAAACCTGCCCAAACCCAGCCACGAAGCTACAATTTCTCTTTCTGCAGGACAGAATGATGACATTGTTTCATTTCTCCTGGTCGGCAGCCCGCTGTCACAGGCTAGGACTTGCCTCACCTACTTTAAACATTCTTTCATTAGTAAAGAGAAGTTCTGGTGCTCACACGACAGAAGAATGAGAATCCCTTTGTTATTAACCAGGGTGGCCCTCTCTTCCTTTCCCTTTTCCCAGAAAATAGTTGTTCAAATAATGCTCAAGAAGCCAAGATGCTTTAGAACATTTGACTTGGCAGCTAGCAAGAAGAATTTCACAAAAAGAAACACCATTTGTAGCAAAAATGGGGGATTTTGTTGGTTACATAACTTAAAGTATTAGTTTTCAGTGAATACGAGATTCATGTTTCAGACAAGTCTGAGAACCCAATCATTCCACCCTTCAGAAAGGCAGTTTTCTACATTTTTCCCCTCTACAAACGCAGGAGGAGAGAATTGGAAACCATGAGAATGATTCAGTTACCCCAAGTAACAAATTCTAAATAATATTAAACACGCCCTGCATCTAAACAAAACAAAACAAAAAAACACCACGTGCCTGTTAATAATTAATCTGCTTTTGGTCAGGCAGCAGTAGCATTCATCCCAATACACAATACACATCCTAATACAGCAAACAAAGAGAGGAAGATGACAGGCCCTGTATTAAGGCCACCATCTTCCTGCTCTTTTCATGTGACTGCTACGAGCTTCAGTTCAAAGACAGACCCAAATCCCACAGTTATTCCTCTCTCTCCCAAAGCACAAGGAGAATCTCACTGTCACAGCAGCAGATCAGTATTTCTGGACTCTTCAGAGCAACCAGCGCTGTCCCGTTGTTTTCTGCTGGCCGATGGTACCGTCCGTGCACAGGCAAAGTGGCTGTAAAACAACCGGAGCACCGCGGGTCGGGGGTCATGTACAGGAGAACAACAAGGTCTGAGGCCAAGTACTCAGGTGCCTCCACATCAACAGCATCGGGAATTACCAGAGCCTGCGAGTGGAGAAAGACACGGACACGAGTGCCACCAGAACCAACACGGGGGATAAAACACAGCTTTATGATTGTTTTTTAAACAGCAAAATAGCAGGAGGCAGGAAGCACTGCCTAGTCCTGATTTAGAGAGGGAGAACTGAGGACTGGCAATTTGAGTAGCCCATAGTGGAGCCCAGAATTCAGTCCAAATCTCTCAATACTATTTTGGCACTTGAATTGCATGGCAGTTTTCCTGGCAAGGGATCCCAGCTCAGTTCTTCAAAAAAAACCTCTCTCTCCCACTTGCTCAAGTTGCTTGTTTTTCCTTGTTTCCGACTCCTTCTCTGGAGTGCTGGGAAAAACTGTTTCCCCAAACACGCGCGTTTCAAACAGGCAAACTTTC